TCACGAATAGCTGCTAGCAGATGAACAGGAAAAGCATCCAAGCCGCTTACACTCCTGGCAATCAGTCTCTAACAGCATACAGTAAATCCCCCCCAAAGACGAGACAGAGCTCCGTGTTGGGGGTCAAGCAGTGGTCTGGTTTATTGAGGGCTACCTGCCCAGTATTTATGCAGGTCTCCCACCTGGTGGACACTCCCCTAGGGGACCAGATGGGAGACTGTAACACAGACAGACATGTATCACATTCAGACACACAGAAGTAAAACATCCCCACAATGCATCCTAATTTCCCTCCCTCTATCCTGGAGATAATTGGGAAGTAATCCAATTATCTCCCAGGACAAAGGCAAAACTCCATTATACACGTGGGGACACAAAGACAGTAAAATACTTTAAAATATACAAAGTTACATTTAATACATAAAATACAGACATGTCACATATCCCCAGATAGCTGGGACCTGAGCGCACATAACTACCGAATAGCACTCAGATCCTATACACACAGTTCAATTGCCATGGAGCCAAAGTCTTTAATTATATGAATAGGCTCCATGGCATAGCTATCTGGGTTAAAACATTCACTGAAGTAAAGTCCCGATCGATTCAGCGTTCAGCTAAACAGCCACGAATAGAAGCAGGGAAGGCTGGAGGCTCAGCGGTGCCTGCACATAAAAGTGTCCGCTTTTAGTGCACTGATTCCGGGCTGAGCACCGCTGGCCATCCGGGGAGCTCCGTAACACCGCCACCTAGCAGCCGCAAAGTGTAACAATTGACGGCACATGCTAGCTTCAGGGAGGTGAATTGAAGGTACACGCCAGATTCCCGGTGGTCGCGCCTTCGGTATTTTGTTCGGTAGATAAAATCTACCCAATGCCCTGGTAGAAAGGCATGAATAAGCCTTTCTACAGGGAAAATAAAGTATTTTAAAAGTCCGGTCCATAGTCTAAAGGGAGCAGGCGGGCAACCAGGCTCCTCCAATGCAATGTGGCGAGATTGCTCTCGTCACAATAACAATCTAAATAACATGTTAATATAGAAACTGGCCACCCAACATTTCCACCAGGTTAAATTGTAGGGGTGTACCGAGACACCGCTACCCACCATATCAATTGTAGGGGTGTACCAAGACATCGCTACCCACCATATCGATTGTAGGGGTGTACCAAGACACCGCTACCC